CCTTGTTGCAGCAGTCCTTCCTCTCTCCATAGCTTACACCTTTCGAAGGGCTCTCGCAGCTCTTTGTCACATCCCACGGGCTTTGCGAGCAGCCTGAGCTGAGGTGATGCTGCTGCTGGCTCATGTCATGCCTCGCATCCTGACACCAGCAGTCAGAGCCCCTGGAGTTGGCAGCTCACAGCTGGGGCGTTAGATAGAGGGGGTTATATCCAACAATATCTTAATTAGCATCTCCCAGGTCAGGTGCAGGTTGTCCTGTAAAAAGGTATCAAAGGCATCCAGTACAGAGCTAAGAATGTTGCGGGGGTACAATACAGATGGTTGTTGGTTTTCTTTGTTATTTTTCTTTAATCTACTCTATTTTTGACTGTTGCTTTGGGAACATTGCCTGTTTGTTTTTGTTTAATAACATGACAGATCAGAGTGCCCAAAGGCTGGTGCCTGCCTTTTTTGTACAACATATCACCTTCCTGCCAGGCAGCTTTCAATTACCGTGCTTTTGTGTGTCCAACTGTGCCTTTGTTGAGAGTCGAGACGGTGGTCACAAGCTGGTCTGCCACTTAAGGCAACACACAGCACTCTGCTTAACACTCTGTATGTTTCAGAAGAGATTGCTTTGGGACGTAATGAATCCAGACTTCAAGAATTCACGACCCCTTCCAGGGCTGGGAAGTTGGTGTTAGAACTTGGCTGGAGGCTTGGCAGCTGCTGCCGTGTTCAGAGTTATGCAGCAGAGAATAGAAGTGATAGGAGTGTTACCTCACTGTTGATGTCCATTCTGAATTATTGTGTCCATGCCCGATGGAGTGTCCTTAGTTCCTGCATCATGCACAGTTAGTTGCAAACTCATTTTCTGCAGTGAGCTAAAAAACACAGAAATACTGTGTTCTTGTGCACATTGCAGCTGTGCCTGTCTGCAGTATGCACTTGAGAGTGAGGGGTGCACGTTGGCATGCTTCTGAGAAATGGCCGCTTCTTTGACCTACACGTGTCTTAAATAGCTCTCCACTGAAGGATCACTGAATCCATCTCAGGATGACCTGAAACCCAAACCCTGTGTCTGAGAGCATTGTCCAGGTGCTTTATGAACTCTGGCAGCCCTGTGCTGTGCCCACCACCTTCTGTGCAGAGCCTTTCTCTCACCCCCACCCGCCCTCCCCTGGCAGCCCCAGCCGTTCCCTGGCCCCCATCGCTGTCACACAGAGCAGAGCTCAGTGCTGCCCTCCGCTCCCTATGAGGAGCTGCAGCTGCTACGAGGGCTGCCCTCAGTTTCTCAGGCAATTCACTACGTTTGGACTTAACTTTCACATCGGTTCAGCTGCTTTGGATGTAAGGCAGTATATCTGGAAATATTTCTTTCTTGAGAAGTACGAGCATGTATATCTACTATGCATTATTTTAAGGAGAGTTACCATAAAAAGTGGTGGCCACAGGACCTAGAGTACTGGTAAATTTGAAGTTAGTAGTCCAGATGAGATTAATCAACCAATCTTTCCTCCTCCCACATAGCTTTTTTTCTCTGCTTAATGTTATGTGTCAGTAACCTCCAAGCACATACTGCGCCCTGCTGTGTGCAGTGAGGTGAGGAGCAGTCACCTCCCCCTCAGAGAGCCCTCAGTTCTGTCAGCATGGCTGCTAATCCTTCAAGAACCCCAGAGCAAGGACATGCTATTAAACCTCCTTCGGGGAGGACTGAAGCCCTTAAGCAACCAAATCTTCCACCAGCTTAACACTCAGAGTTCGTTCTTAGCATAAAAAAGCATTAGAACAGTTTTGGTTTCTTTTTGTCTAAAAGTGAGAAAACATGAAATTTTGCTGCCTGAGTCTGACAGCCGCTTTCAGGCTTTCATTGACACAAATGGCATGGCTACTCTTCTGAACAAGAGTTTAGAAGACTAGATTTTTTTGTTCCTGTACAAGTGGGCATATAAAGCTCCATGTTGCATTGTGTCTTCTGCAACAAATAAATGTCACAACATGATCACGTGAATACAATTGGATGTGATTTTTATCAGAGCTTAAAGATCACTTATTTGTAAGTCCTTGAATCAATCGAGTTATAAACTAATCTCTTGGAATGTTTCTATTTATTAATTCCTATGAAAACGGTAGTATGGAAAAAGACACTTTAAGCATTACAGCTCTCCGTATTTCTTTTTTCATACAGAATGAGCTTAGGATAGCATGAGGAGTGAAAGAAGCAATTTCTGTTATGGTACCTTGTTCTTCCTTTCTATTACAGTTTTTCATCTCAAAAAATGATAGATTTTTTTCTCAGCTGGTTCTTGCAGCGTGCTGCCATGACAATCTGACCATAAAGAAGGGGGGAAGAAAAAGATTTTTCTCTCAAAGAGTATGGAAGTTAATACAGGCTCTGTCAGACCACTATTCCCTGAACACCAGAGGTCCTTTTGACCTGTGGGAAAATAAATGCTATAGAGAGCTCTGAATTAATGAAGAAAGCAAACGATAGCTTTTTCCATTTACCAGTAATCCACAGGACTGTGGACAAATGTCCCCTTGCGTGCTCCTCTCCCACAGATGTCACCTCTGCTGGCAGTGTGCCGCATGCAAGGCAGCGCTCCCTGCTCTGCTGTGCCTGGGTGCGAGGGGCCAAGGATCAGGGGTTGCTGTGGGGGAGCCCTGAGTGAGCTAGGGAACCAGCTGGTTTTCCATCAGCAGCCTGCAGACTCCATCCATAGCTTTCACAGATGTTTAAATTATTGAAGCTTTGCATGGTGGTGATGGCATTTTGTAGTTATCCTGTATAGAAATGCTTTGTGATGCACAGAAACTAGAGAGACTGTGCTAAGATCAGCAAATCTATTCCCATGCTTTCAAAATATGTTTAGGCCCAATCTAAATCATAATACTAGTCCTAAGTGAAGTGGTTAATGCGTTTTCCCTTACAGTATTTGATAGATGAACGTGGAATATACAGTTTATTATTTAATTCTACTACTTGAAATTAAGTGAATGGATACAAACAAACAAGATCATTTCTCTCCATAAGCATTCATTGTGCAATATCTTCCAGTCTTACCTCTGAGAGAATGTAATTAATGTTGATAAATGCTTGTGTTCTTCCTTTGCAGCTTTGGTCCACAGACAATTGGTTGTACCAGAGCATGGCAAATCCCACATAAAAATATAGCTATAGATCATTGGTTTTAGGGATAGAGTTCAGACAAGTCAATTTATTTCCATTAGGAGATGAAACTAAACTTAAAACTCGGGGGGCTACAAAAATGTTGCCTGTTATGTTGTCAGTCATTCTGGTCTGCTTTGCTGTAACGTAAGGTGTTTCCACTAATCTGCTTTCCAGCTTCTGAACACAGTGCAGCTTTCCAAAATGGCTCGGTGGGTGTTTAACATATCTTTAGTTAAATGTCTTTTTCTTAATCTTCTGAAGATGTAATTACTGTACTCTAACATGGCATGAAATCTTCTAGTGTTTGCCACTTTGTCAGAAATGCTCATACAGAGATAGCAAACTTTCCGCTTTTGAAATACGTGGACAGGAGCTGAAGGTGTGACAAAATGGCATATTTCCTTATATCCATTTCTGTCAGCCTTTTTGCTTCTATTAAGTTCTGAGCAGAGTGACAGAGGTCATGATTGCATGTGTAAGTATTTTGCTTTTCTTTATATACTTCACATACCCAAAGTGGACCATGGTGGGACTCTTCTACTTTTTTTCCTCACTGAAACTGTATGATTGGCATGTTCTATTAAAACATATCTAGGTATTCATTCATTCATTCTTGATGGGAGTGGAGTTTCATTATATATCTGAGTTTACTTTAACAGTGCTATATTAAAATTTCTGTTAGTACTGCAGCTGCCTTCTTGGCTGAATAGCACATAACATTCCCGGGTTAAAAGCTTTGATATTTCAGATAAAGGCAGTGCCAAGGACTGCAATTTCCAGTTTGATTTTGTGATTTCCTGCTTTGGGGCAGGAGAAAAAGGACAGTAAGAAGCACCTGCTGCAGACCCTGAGGTCCAGGCCTGACAGGGCCACGCATCACTGGGGGCCGGCTGAGCAGTTGCAGTGAGTGGGAAGGAGAGATGGGCCAGTCTGCGTGTGACCCACATCTGCTCTGCCTCGCCACGTCTGTCCGTCCGTCCTTCCTCACACCACGTCTCCTGTCTGTCCATCCTTCCTCACACGTGTGGCTTCAGCCCCGAGCTCCTGTGCACGGAGCAGCGCTGTGCTCCCAGCAGCAGCAGGCTGCCAAAGGCGCTAAAACTGCTGCTGCTGCTGTCGGTCAGGTTTAACCAGGCTGAAGGAACAGAAGTGTCAGCAGCTCTCACGTAACAACACCAGCTTCATATCGTCATTTCCCAACAGTTATTTTAATTGAATTTTCTTTTCAAAAGCAAACAGAAACAACAGAATTAATCTGCTTGAGATACTTAGCAAGTGTCTGGGCAGTCTGAGAGGTTTTATTTCTGCTAAGCTTAGCGCTTTTGACGATAGTTCTAGTTCTTCAAACCACCCTAACTATTATTTTTTTAACTGGTTAATTCTAATTCTGGTAAAATCTCTTCCTGCAAGGCTATAGTCTTTCTAAAATTTTATTTTTTGCTGGCAGCTTTTTCCAAGGCTTGTAATGTCACATCTGAATGTGAGCCCTGTTACCAGACTGCTCCCCCTCCTTGATGGACACAGTCTTAACATACTCAAACTTTGGTCATGTTGGTTTTTTAGTTACTATCCAGGCCAACTGCATCTAATCACAAAAAGATTCAGAAGGTTATGCTGGCAGAAGACATCCTGACACTGTGTTTCAGTGACAGTTGTTTGGTTTTGGTGGCAAAAGGATTGTGAGAGTGTTCGTTTTCCTTATTTCTTCATGCAAAGTCATTTTACTTCTTGAATTTAATCCTTATGTCATCTGGGTTAGGAACAGGAGATAACCTTCCTTCATAACTACAAGATTTCTTACAGTTTTCAACTGTAGTTCCATTTTTTGTTTTGTTTTGCTTTTTTCCAGGCATTTCTTGTTTAAGACATCTTCTGGAACGACTCCGCTGTTCAGTAGCTCTTCCCCTGGCTACCCACTGACCTCAGGAACAGTTTATACTCCACCTCCCAGGCTGTTACCTAGAAATACATTTTCCAGGAATGCATTCAAGCTGAAAAAGCCCTCCAAGTATTGTAGCTGGAAATGTGCTGCTTTATCTGCAATTGCTGCTGCAGTCCTGCTTGCCATCCTGCTAGCCTATTTCATAGGTAAGACTGTTCTCTATGTCAAATCACATGCCTATGTCAGCAAGTGAAACTTGAGCAGATGAAAGGGTGGTTTAATCTGTTTTGCAGATCTGCGTAGTTACTGAGCAAACAAAATTTTTATTCTTTATACTGGTTGATGAGAAAAATACAGTTCTCTCGTCCTGTTCTCTGTCATAAGAGTGGGAACAAGACATGGATTCAGGATCCTCAGCATGCATTGTTAAATGGAGGTGTATAGGCGCTTCAAACAGCGGCAGGTGTAATGAGGATTTTTTTAAGTACTGTATTGGCTTTAAAATATTTTGCAAAAATGGTGATAGTGAATCCGTAAGAGTAACAGAAGGTACTGGTGTTTGAATTGAAGTAGCACCATAGCATGCTGTATTTAGAGGAAAAAAAAAATCCAAAATCATTTTGAATGATAAGTCTCAGTTTATATCTCTTCTCATGCCTAAATTCGTCTTGTTTTTAGACCTCAGTAAGATAAATCTATTAGGTGTGCTATTGTTTTCTGCATGCCACACATCCTTAGTGTTTTATAAGGAAAACTCAAATTTTGTGCTGATTTTCTGTGTTTAGCATATTAATAACGACAGCACTATGTTCTATCTTTCTTGGTCTTTTCAGATTTTCTTTAAACGTGCTCCTGTGTTTTTTTTTGTCTTTACTAGATTAATTTTTCTGATTTCTCCCTCAGTATCCTCCTCATTGTCTGTTGTTTTGGAGATTTTTCAAAGGATCTATACCAGTTAGATGTGTATTTTGTACCTTTTACAATGCCTTCAACAATATGTTGATAATGACATGCTACACAGATTGTCCAGCTTCCCTGAGTAAATGGCAAAATTGTAGTACCTTGTAAATACTTTCCAGACCCATTATGTTGGGGTTTTTGTTCATTTCTGAGACTCTTTGTGTTGATATTAATATGTTGCTACCTTAAAGAGCAAGGTTCATGCATAATATGTGAAAGCCCTGTAAGGATGCACTGAATTTTATTCCTATTTCCTCCATTTGAAGAGTGATTATTTTTTTATTTTTTCTTTTTTGACCAGACAGCCTAACTCAAGAGTGTAGATAATGCTTTCTGTGGAGATTTCAATTTTCACATTAATGGTCTTCCACAGGTAATTAATACACATGAGGTGAAAAAGAGCTGATGAGCTCCTTCATTGCTTTTGTCTCTTTAGGCCAGGCCTGCATCCCAGCATATTCAGTACTACAGAGTAACCAACTTTCTGTGCTTCTTCTGTAGAAAACCTCAGAAGAATAGCAGCCTTAGTTTGATACATAAATAAGAAGATTGGAAGGCACGATTTATTGAACTTGACAGTTATCATACAACAACTCTGTTTGAGTGATTATGCACATGGGAAATGATATACTGCAAGCTGAATATTTTAATCGTGCATAACTTTGAAGTGATGAATTATGAGATGTGTTTTTCCCTGTTATTTAGGTTACTATAATCTAAAGCAAAACTTTGCCATGTGGTTATTGCCTTCAACAGTTTCTTAACCATTTAAGACGAGGCGATGTAAAACAATACATAGACCCTTAGCAACTGACGAATGGTCTTCAAGTCATGACATAACTGATCTGTCTTGACAGAAGTTTTTGAGGTCTTTTTGGGAAAGACAGAAAAGAAAACTGAAAGGAAATTGCATTGTCTTAAGACAGTATCTTGAGACAGCGTCTTGAGAACAACAGGATGGCAAAAAGGATGTGCTTAAGACCATCAGCTATAAGCTTATCCAGCCATCAAATTGTTGGCGCTCTGCTGTCCTCCAATGGTCTGACCCTAGGCACTGAAGTCTCCTTATTACAAGAAACCTGAAAAATCTTTCCTTGTTCTGCAGTTCCCTGGAGGGATGCCTTCTCTTGGGCATGTGCAGTACTTCAGACCTGGGAAAAATAATTATCCCCTCTCTTGGGCAAAGAGCAGCAATCCCAAATACCAGCTGTCTGCTCTTCTGCTGCTTGCTTTGGAGCTGCTGACCTACTAATCCGTGAACTGCTGTGAAGACAAAATAACTCTGTCTTGTTCCAGTCAGTCTCTTGGAAGAAAAAAATGTTTTTCTGTTTTTAAGATGATCAGAATTATGTTCAGATCAGACCAAAATCCCAGTTCTGTCCTAATCATTGACACAGCTGGAAAGTGAGAGCTGTTAATCTACTGGGGGTGGTTATTTAAGTTTGACCAAGATAGGCAGGAGGAAGGGCAGCACTACCCCAATGTGTTTTGCTGTCGGAACTGGAAACACAGGGGACTCTTTAAAGGCACTGATAATGTTTTACTGCTGCACATGTCCAAAAAAGCAAATTTCTTGCTCTCCACGAACACAGAAGTTGTATTACTGAGGATACATCTGCTAAAAATAATAGCTATGAAAAAGTTATCAAAATTTGCAGTGAATGGCTCTGCTCTTTAGGTTTAGCTCAATATATCTAGGCTCCGTGAAGATGACTGTATCAAAGTAGCAAAGACTACTGCTGGACTAAATGAAAAACACAATGCTGGCAAATAAGAAGTAAATTATATTGAAAAAATAGTTTGAAGATCTCATAGGCTTTCTGAATGAATTGTCCTAATATAACAGATGTGGGAGTCAAAGCAGTTCATTGAAAACATGCTGTCTTGGGTTTCAACATCTGAATTTCAGACTGCCAAAGATGAATGGTGTCATGAAAAAATTTCTAACAAGGGGTGATTTAAAAAGACAGGCAAAAAGCATATCATAGAAGAAGATATAAAAGAATATCAAAGAGATGTAGGCATTCTTATTGTCTTGTCAGGTAAATAAAAACAGCCTGAATGAAATGGGGAAAAAAAAAATAATCACAGTCCATAATACCCTTTGGAACTAATTGTCCTCCAGACCTGTTTGAGATTTGTCATTTCTCAAAGTCTGGGATTTATTCTTATTTTCCTTGGGCGACATTTGAAGAATGTAGAATCAGCCATTCAAATTAGGACATCCTGGAGACATTGGGCTGGTGGTGAAACCGAGTTACAGGAAAGTAATTTATGAAGTGTCAGAAGGAAAGCATATACCAAACGTACTGTCTTTGTCAGAGTGTTCACTTCAGAGATTATGGGAGTGATGAAAGACATTGTCACGTTAAATTAGTTTTTAGCCCTTCAGATTCATGCCAAACTTGGAGGGGAAAAAACAATAAATAAAGGAGGAAAGTGAGGAAGAAGTCTCCCTGTGCTCTCCACGATAATAACTCCTGCCAAACACTAAATATCATGTTCTTGCAAGCCCCTACACTGCTCTGATTTTTGCCAGTCTAGCTTGGAGCATGGAAGAACATGTGACCATCAGCATGCCAGGATGTTAAAAATGAGATCATGTTAAAGTGTTTACACTTTTCAGAGGGAGGCAACAAGTAGAATAAAATTCCCTGTACAATGAGTTCAGAGATGCTCCGCTTAAAAATAGCATCTCATGCTGATAACTTGGTGTTGGTGTATTTTGTCTACTTCTATTCTGCTCAATGATACAGAAAAATAGAAGGAAAGTGATAAATTATGAAAACAGCATGTTTGTACTGCATCTTTAGCTCATATACCGCATGGGGAAATGTTATCACTCATTTATTCTTCAGTGTTATTTGACCCTAAATATGCTCAAGGCTTCAGATAAACTCCAGTTTTCTCCTTAAACTTAAAATAAGATAGCCATGTCTGTGCTCCAGAAAGACCTGGATTGCCAAAGGCTCTGGCTGCTATTTAAGCAAATGAAAGTTTCATTTTTATACCCTATACATTTATTTAAAATTAAAGCCTGGAAAACAGTGGCACACAGAACAAATATTTGGTAAGTTTCTTGCTATTAGAAAACACCACAGCAGATTTGTGAATATAATACATATAGGCAAATAAATGGTTAATTTATTTGGTTATCTTTCTCGCACAGTAGTATTCATTTGTTTCTGTGACAGGCAGACAATAAAATGTATGGGCTTCTTGAGGAAATTAGGCTCGGAAGCAGAAGTCTCATCTTTTCTCTGCATGAAATATGTGCATAGACTACAGTTTTCATAAAATTGTCTTCTTTTGATGTTAATATCATTTTGAATTATTTTCATCCCAAAAATGAGTACGATATTTGCCAGTGTAAGAGCTTATGTGAAGTTTTTTTCATTCATATTTGTATTTTTTTCCATTCATAAATGCAGCACTCAAACTATTACTGTAAATCCTTTCACTGCAGCATCTAGAGCTCTGCAGATACCACCGCTCCCAGAAACACAGACGTGTAACTAACTGCTCCTAGCTTCACTGGCTGCAACTTTTGCCACTCGCGAGAATATTTTTGAATTTGGGAGACATTGATGATGATCTAAGTCCAATTGTCTTCTTGACTGGTTCCACAGGTCAGGATTCATGATAATAGTTCACACAAGTGGTTGCTTTATGTATCAATTGATTTATTTTCTCTGTCTTTGAGCTGTTTTTGACAAATGGCAACCTATGTTTCGTTTGATTTTTCTGCTGCGTTTGTGTTGTATCACTTTTAAAGTCAGAAAACCATTGAGCTGTTCTTGGCCAGACTTCACTGAAATCAAATACGCTAGGCAGCTGGGAAACCAAGATTGACAAAAGGGAAAACCATGCAAAGATGGAACCTCTGTCATGCAGGGGGCATCTGGTTGTCAATCACTGCTACCAAGTTTCACTTGAATCTTGCATCTTGTGAGATGAGATTGTGACAGAAGTTTCTGTTGTAAATTTGCAATGAAAATAGGTATTGCTTAGGGGGCAATAATTAAGTTTTAAGATAAGCCTATCACTCATTCAGATATTCTTCTTGACTGATTCATTCAATCTGAGGAAGAGAAGAGTGGTCATCTGGTACTAGCTCTGAGAATAAGCTTTGAACCTTTCAAGGAAAACTGTCTGTCCCCATTCTATAATGAAATTCTGCACTTTTGCTGGGAATTGTGGAGCTTGGCTCCAGGAACATTGAATGTGGAGTTTTCACTTCACAAGG